ATGGATACTTAAATGTTTCCTTTATTGTAAAGAATAATTGCTTAGTATGTATTCCTCTGACATTGGCTACAGAGCTAAGGCTAATGCAATAATCAATTTCAAGGTACACAGAGGTTAAAATGCTCATAAAATGCAAATAGGCCTGCAAGTATGACAGATCGCTGGAGAGAGGTCGGAGCAGCAGAGAAGGTGGACAGAACAGGTCAAGTTTCGTCACATATTCAAACAATGTTTTATGATAATAGAAACCCGTTTACTAGACAGAGGACAACACTCATGACAGATGCACGTAATCTTGCAGCGTGCAGTTCTCCAAGCCCAGTTGATTAAATCTGGGGCTGTGCAATTCCAGCACTGACTGAGGGAAAGGGTCGGTCAGTGAGGTCCCACGCACAGTGAAAATGGCACGATGGCCCTGATGTCTTGTATCGACTTAGGCCTCATCAAGCCAATGCCATTGACCATGGACAAGCAGTTGCCAAAGCAACGCTTGAGCCAGAGAGGGCCTGATGTCCCCAAATTCTCATGAATTTCACCCAGTTGTTGAATTCATATCCAAAAAGAAATAATTTAGGGGTGGTATCGACTGTTCCTATAATGTAGCTGGTCAAAGCCTTGCTGTGCATTGACATACATTGAAAGCAATTCCACCTGACTCACGTGATTCTCTAAGATTGAACTGTGGATTTTTCTGTTTATTTAAAACAAGAACAGCCAAAACAACATGCAACTCTCTCCCCATCATAAAGAGGAGAAGAYCCCAAAAGGTTTGGAGCTGACAGGTTATGTATGAAACTTTCATCTGATCCACAGTTTCACTCAGGAGCTGCTCTGCAAACTTGACTTCATTTATTCAGCAAATGCTGGATGCTGAATGAGGTCATGGGACACAGGGAAGAACAGTAYAAAGTCCTAGTATGTTTTATCTTGCACACTGGACTCCATTTCTGACTCCTACAGACTTCCTCTACAAAGTTTGGGTAAAACTGTGTATATAAAAGGTCAAACTAAGGCAACTTCCTATTTCTTACATTTCCATGGCTTAAATTTAATACTGTTCTTCCTCATTTTCCAAACAAGAAAAACTTTTTTTTTTTTTAAATAATGAAGGATTCTAAAGAATGTCCATATTAGAATAAAATTGTCTTCTTTTTCCTTGGCTGCAAATCAGATTATGGATAGCAGTTAGCCAACTAAACCGCCAGATGAAATTCCAGTGTAATCTCAATCCAAAAGCTAAGCAAGTTATATTCTTTATTCTCCCTCTTTTTATCCCACTCTTCTAGAGAGTTGTTCTTTAAACTAGATCTGTTGCTTAGCCCTGATCTCCTCTTTGTTGCTCCTTTTCCTCTTTGCTACAYGATCTTTTACTGCGGCACTTTGTATTTTCATGTTTCTCCCATTTAACTTGCAGCTCCTCGATCACTTACAGCAGATAAACCCTTGAACTCGAAGGTCAGCATTTTCCCAAACCCACTTTTATGTTTTCTAAAACTCAACACAACTCACTGCAGGACGTGGTAAGCTTAAACTTTCTGTACATTTCAGGAGGTCGCAAGAGACTAAAAGAGCTTGAAAAGCCAGAATATGCAGGGTAGGGAAAAGTGAGACCTGCTTTCCTTCAGACTGGAGTAACATTCCCAATGCCTTACGAGACGGCATTAATGGCTTTACAACGGCGTGCCTGTGGAACGCTGTGCTCTCCCATCTCGCTTCGTCTGCTCTCACCTCCTTTCCTTAGCTTTTGCAATCCTAAGAGTCTTTCCTGTCCTGGTGATGGAAGGGGTGCAAGGCAGAGCTGTTCCCCCCATCTCCGGAGCAGTAACTGTGGGAGCTATCTCTTCTAGCAAACCGTCTCTTCTGCCTTATGGCAGTGTCTGAGCAGAGSCACCGGCATCTCAAGCCCCTTTTCTTCATCCTACATAGAACAAGCTGCGCACGACTCGCAGTCATCCAGGGGCTGCGTCCTGCAGCTTCCCTAGCCCGCGGAGCAGTGTCCATGGTGCACGAGCCCAGCTCTGCTCCCTGGAATGTGGCTAGAGCTCCCACCGCGTTGCAGCCCCTTCCCAGTCCTCACGGCACGAGCAACTTCCTACCCTGCCCCTTTTGAATCATAGAATGCCCAAGATTGGAAGGGACCTCAGAGGTCATCAAGTCCAACCCCCCTGCTCACGCAGGGTCACCTAGAGCACGTGGCACAGGGCTGCATCCAAGCAGGTTTTAAAGATCTCCAAAGAAGGAGACTCTTTTCCCTCTCGCCCCTCTGCTATGAAATGGTTAATCAAAACGGAGGTCTGTTTCCATCTTATATTAATAATTTCCACTGATTTATACTTGGATGGCCTATTAAATGGAGAATATTTCTGATATTACATCTGCAGAGATGGGAAAACCACGTATATGAATGAGTGTAATCCATTCATGGTTTTATGGACCTGGAGTTCTCCAGAGAGCATCCCTGAGTGCTGGATTTTACATTTAGATTGCTGAGTTAGCTGAAATATGTGTAATATCACCAGTAGGCAAAGAGCTCCCTATTGACTCCGGGCAGAGGAGGGCCCTGGCGCACTGCTTATTCCAGCAAGGACGTGAGCTGGCGTGCGCCCAGGAAATGTTGAACAGCTACGCCCGGGCTCTTCTCCTCTTCCCCCTTTTGTTTTTTACCCAGCGTATGTGAATAAATGATGTGTGGAGCTGAAAGCTCTCACTCACTGGAAAGCTCGCTTCTGTTTCGCGAATACACGCGTAGCGGCGCATTAGACATGCTTGTATTTCTTAATGTGCCTGTGGGAGAAATAATCCGGCAGAGCTATCTCCTCGTGCCCCTCAGATTCATAAGTAATCTAGCTCGTTGGGGCTAGGAAAGTGTAGAGCTCAGCTCAGGAGCAAGTCTTCAATATTTTACTATCAATACAGCCATTTTTCCTCGTTCTTGACAGCGATAACTTCCTACTGAGTTCCTCCTTTCATATTTATTTATTTATGCATTTATTCAGTAGYGTACGTTTGATTGTAATGACTGTCAGAGGCAAGTGCAGCTAATGGCTTTTAAAAATGGGACCGTTTCAATCCCATTAAAAAAAAAAGCAGTGTCAAAGCTCAACTCTAAACCACAGCTTTATACTCCTGCACGCAACATCCACTCAAAACAACAGTCAAAAGTGAGCACGAAATGGCTGGGACCGTGGCGGCGATCCCGGCATCTGCACGGGGCCCTCCTGCTCTGGAGGCGGGAGCGGAGGCATGAAGGGTGCTCTGCTCCCCTCCTGCTCCGGAGGCGGGGGTGGAGGTGGGAAGGGTGCTCTGCTCCCCTCCTGCTCCGGAGGCGGGGGTGGAGGTGGGAAGGGTGCTCTGCTCCGCTCCGCTGCGGCACACGGGGGTTGCTGCCGTCACGCGGCAGCCCAGCTTTGTGCGCTGCTTCAGCCTGTGAAGAGCTGTCACAGAACCACAGAATGTTCAAGGTTGRAAGGAACCTCTAGAGATCATCTAGTCCAACCTTCCTGCTCCAGCAGKGACACCCAGAGCATGTGGCACAGGGCGGCATCCAGGTAGGTTTTGAAGACCTCCAGAGAAGGAGACTCCACARCCTCCCTGGGCAGCCTGTKCCAGGGCTCTGTCACCCTCACAGTAAAGAAGTTCCTCCTCACCTGGAGATGGAATTTCCTGTGTTTCAGCTTACGCCCATTTCCCCTTGTCCTGTCACTGGCCACCACTGAGAAGAGCTTGGCCCCTTCCTCCCTACATTCCCCCTTCATGAACTTATACATGTTAATCAGATCCCCTCTCAGCCTTCTCTTCTCCAAGCTAAACAGGCCCAGCTCACTCAGTCTCTCCTCATACGAGAGATGTTCCAGTCCCTTAAGCTACTTCAAAGGCTGCTTCACACAGCCCTTCACTCCAAGTCACAGGCAAGAAGCCCGGTTCAAYACAGGCAGTGAGCACTGAAGGATCACAAGGCCTTCTAGGCTTCGTTATTAACTTATGTCGACTTAAGAGAGAGGGAGAAAAGAAGAGATTGACTCTCCTCTTCCTGCTTTCTCTCCTGGTTTAAGAATCTGCGTCTGGATGCAACAAATGGCTCTCATGCACTTTTTCTTCCATAAGTGTGATGATTTAAACTTACAATCAMCAGACTGGTTAAAAAGAAAGTCTTGGAAAACCTTTTACTGACTCAAAGGTGGCAATATCTGTAATCTGCATCGGGTCACAGAAGAAGCTGRAAGTTCATTAAAAGTCTGCTTTTTTCTCTTATTAAAGTCAATTATTTTTTTTTCTCACAGASAAGCACTGTCTCCATGAACAGCCTAAAACTCAAACGATACAATTTTGACAGCAAATGCTTATGCAATTAAAAAAATTACAACGCTAAAGAAATAAAGCAGATCATATAAAATGAAAATCAGGAAAGCGAATTTAACAAGTAAGTAGAAAAAAGAATAAATAACTCATCTGAGAGGAAAAAATCCTCCTCCTCCTCATGTTATTCTTCTGAGGAGTATTCTCATGTTCTCTTTATGTTGACATTTTGAGCAATTATTTCCCCACCTTGCAATCGAAAGTCTCTATCTCCCCGCACAAATACAAAACGCAACGACATAATAAGTGAAATTCTGCATTCCTAAATGGTGTCCTAGTTCTATTTCAAGCAAAACGGAGGAGAAAAGTTCCATGGATATGCTGGAAGTTACTTTTGCATTATGGAATTTTACAGCTTGCATTAAAAATATACTTTAAAAAGGACTAGCCAGCACATAGCTTAACTGCTGTTCAAATACTTCTTTGAAGTTAGCTCATTTGCTATCGTGCCGCAAAATGCTTGCAAAGTATCCACATTTTCTCTTCCCTCTAAAGAACCRGAGTTCCAATTAAATCACTGCTGCGGTGTATACTGCTGTGTAAAAAAAACTGTGGTAAATGAACATTTACATGGCACAGTCCATATAAAAGCCTCCAGACACCCCCGTTTACGGCAACAATTAGGATAAACAAGTGCAACTCACCTATAAAGTAGGAAAGCAGTATTGCCAGCAGCACCGAGACTCCTACAGCACAGAGGGCGGTGCATTTCCAGCTGCAATACTTTGAAGACTTCTTGAACTTAAAAGCACTTCTGGACAGGGTGTTCCTCGGCAGCGGCCGAGTCGGAGGGGAATACACGGAGCCGGATGCCATTGTGTACCCTGGTGTCGCAGTGCTGAACAGCGGCGTGGTCCCTGTTCCTGTTTTGAATAGGAAATGCCTGCGGGAGAAAGAGCAGAGTGAAATACAAAGGTAAATAAAGCTGAAACACAGGCAGTCATATCTTCTTTTTTGTTTGCTTTGTTTAAGTGTTTTCTATTTTTTAAATATCTAACAACATTCCATCTACCCAGGGTCGTAAAAGCAACGCAGGCCACAACACTCGCACATTAAAAAAAAAGTCACATTTCACTTTTAAAGGGGCCCCACAAGGCCCCTCAGTGATAAACTGGTACCCAGAGAGGAAGGAGAACTTTCTGCACAGAAATGCAGTGTGGTAGAGGGGAGATCTTGCAGTGTTTATTTGACAAGTACGGACAGGCTTTCAGTTGTTTATTTTTGGTGGCTTCTGCTGCAGACTATAGGGAAGTCCATTAAAAAGTCAGTATTATGTAATCTAGCTATAGTCCCAGCTACTGGTTTCCATGTTTAAGCACAAACAAAAGAGCAATCTCTCAGATAAAAACTTCAGTGATTCTGGCCAAAATTAGTCAGCTAAAAGTGTTTTTTTTTTTTTTTTTTAAATTTTTTTAGTATCCTAAATACTCAGTTTAGAGTTCCTGTCTCCTCACACATAAATCCCACCCTAGCAAGATGTGGTAACAGACCGAGCAGCTTGTTACAGTCTAGGAACTGCTCTGCAGACACATGTTTAGCAGGTGCCCAAAGAGACCCCTGCCGCAAGAGATGAAAAGCAAAGACAAATTTAAGACACCCTCAGTGACTCACTGATAGACTAGGGTACAACGATAAGACTAATTTTAGCAAATTAAAATATCCCCGCCCTACTTTGTGTAGAAGAGCCCTTCTGTTTAGCCCAGGCCAGTACAGCTCCTCTGGAAGAGCTGAGTAACTCTGGACACCCTGAACTTTCCCAGCCCTTGGCAGCGGCAGCAGGGAGCCAGAGGGGCTCCCATGTTCCGCACGAGGGACCCGTGAGCCGCTGGCCCGCGTGTCCTCCCGGAGCAGAGTGAGGATCTGCCCGCGCTGCCTCTTCCGACAGCCCCGTGCGCGGGACGCAGCCGGAGCCCATGCTACACAGGCTACTTTCAGCTCCAGCAATATCAAGTTTGCCAGCAGTAGCCACAGATGGGTATACACYTGATGCACAGATGAGCAGCAGCAACATCCCAGCTTTTCTGAGCGCCAGAGTGCAGAGGATTACCAATGAGTCCAAAACATAACATCCCTGGTGGTCTGGAGCCTCGCTAAGAAGATACTTTATTAAAAGTTGTGACATTTGCTGTGTAGATAACATCAAAATGACTAGCCCCACGTCACAACCCATGCTTTACCTTAGCACGCTACTGTCCTGATTTTAGTGACCCTAAAAAGCAGGTGGATTTGTTGAGCTGTTTTAATGCGTCTTGTCCCTGTGACCCTTCCAACCCTTCCACCTGAGGCTACCTGTGGTGAATGGGGTCTCCAAGTGCCCAAACCACATCCACTCGGATCTCAAAATAACAACAAACACAAGCAAGTCAGCTCCTCCCTCATAACACAGGCTGCTTTGGGGAGCTGAAACAAAATCCTACTGCAAGGATAACAAAACTCCTAAAAAACAGCTCCCAGCTTCCAAGTAAGAAGCTGCATGGCCAGTCAACAATTCTAACACCCTCCTGGTCCTGGTGCTCAATGGACTAAGCATGGGAACATACATTGCATGAGTTTGACCATAACTCCATATTCCCTAAACTTTAACAAAATAGTGCAACAAAACAGACAGCTTCTGGTCTCTTTTTTCTTCCTCCTCCTCCTCTGAGGAAGAGCAAGTTGGGCAGAGAGGCTGSGGAACATTCCAGAATGGGCATGGGGGTCCAATGACAAAAAACCAAACTAGGGTACAATGACAAAAAAATAAACTAAAAAAAGAAATCAACCAGTAATGGATCTCGCTCTGAGTTTAGAGAATTTGCTTGGATCTCTGTCTAACGAGGAGAGTTCCTAATGAAGTTGTGAGGGACCCTGCTGCTAGGTCAGCTCCGCGCGACGAGTGTTTCAAGCGCAGCGCTATCCGCCCCGCACATCCCGCCTGCCGAGCGGAGCGGAGCGGCGTCCCCACGAGACGCGCCCAGGGACACGGCGATACCGGCAGCCACCCCGGCTGCCTCCACACYGCGCAGAAACCCTTACGCTCCTGAAATACAATCCGCCTGCCAATGGCTTTAATTCTCCATGTACCCATCCACGCGGTCGCTCCATAGTGCGGTGCCCGTGTAGCTCGTTTCCAGAGCCCAAACTCTTTGCGCTGCTCGACCCGCCGCTGACTCGCAAGCCACGGCGCTGCTGCCGCTCCTGGGAGGCCTCCAGCATCTGTAACGCTCCACACTGACCACGGAATAAGCACTTTCAAGATCTGCGTGCAGCACATCAAAAATGCTAAAAGCTTTAGGCCAAAATATTCAAGTAAATCATGCTATTTTAACACAAGCTATTGCTGTTTTATTAAATAACTCAATATACTTTTTAAARCAAATAATCTTTTATGTTTATTCAAAATATGGATATTTCTGTCTGCTTATTAAATATATGCACCTATTTAGACATGCAGATGCATCTTAATGCTTTAGGGGAGGAGAATTTAGTAGCTAACAGTTCTAAACCACAGACTAGTCATAACTAATCATATTTTAAATATAAAGTTATGTCACAAAAACTAATCCTTGGACACAAAGACAACTGGGAAGTTCCCTTATTTCACTAATGGCAGGCACTATTCTTAGTTTGCTCTCTGAACTCAAAGATAAGGCAGGTATATGTCACAAATAAAGGTAAAATGAATACACATGAATAAAAGCAAAATAAAAATAACCAAGCTTTCAGCTAATGCAGCCCTGCCTGAGCAGCGAGCGGTGTCTGCACCTGCTGACAGGCAGACACTGCTTCTCCCTCCGCAAGCAGAGCTGGGGAGCATTCGCTCCAAACAAGATTTTCTCTGGGCTGCCACTTCCTCTGCGGAAAATAAAATTGAAGTCACCTCTGCTAAACTCAGTAAATGGGAGAGCAGGATGGGGGAAAGAAAGTGATATAAAAAATCAGGAGTTGGGTGGAAAGATTAAGTTAACTGGAAACAGTGTCTGTTGAGAAATGGAGATRGATTACAAAAACATTCAAGGACAGCCAGGCTCAGACCATAAACTCAAATACTCCTGGTGTGCCAGACAGCTAGGTGTCCAGCAAGAGAAATGTGGCTTAGAATGGCTTTCTTGAGAAAAAAAATACCCGTGACAAAAACTTCGGACCACAGTTTGGAAGAAACTGAATACGGTGCAATAGCGAACTCAAACTCCAGAGATTTTGATCTAATCCCTGGCTSTGGAATGAACTCTAAACTGCCAGGAAGAGTCTATTATATTAATATATTAATGAGAAAATGAGAAAAAAAAAGAGAAGAATTTCATATTACTTTAAAACATAACCATCTCAAATTTTACAGAATTATTGAATAATTTTAATGTCCACACTATAATTTTTATGTTAGATATATGACCTTTTTAGCCAATACTGGCCTTCCTTCASTTCGTATATGATTCACTGGGATCTATAGCTATGATTTCTCTTGGTTTAGGCATCATCTGTAGAACACTGCATAGAGATGGAGGACATGGGAAAGACCCTACTTTGCCACGTCCCTGGGAGCTTCCTTGGCAACRTTTTAGTTTGTATTAGAATATTTCACTGCACAAGAATACATACAGTGTAGAATCCTGTGGTTAATATGACACAGGATACTAAGATTTACGTGGAACTCCATTTAAAAATTCCTATGAAATGAGGAACAGCGAGCAAGACCCAGCAAAATTCAACTGAACACCTCACAGTATGTCAGAATACACATCCTGCTGCATCAAATTGTCAATGAGTTTTAAAAGCAACTACTGTTATTTTGTGACATGTTATTATTTATATTATGGCAGTGATGAGAAACTACTGTCAGAGGTTAATATTGCTAGGTCTTATGCATACAGAGTGCGAAAGCAGTCTTCCTGCTAAGAGCTACAACACTGTCTAACCAAAATTAAGAATTGTTTATAATAAAGAAAAACCCAAGTCCTTCACTCCCAAACCSTTGAATCTCATGTGCTGTTGAGTACTGCCACCAAGATCTGAAGAATATGGAGTCCCATAAATTGTATTTCTGAATGAAGTGGCCCCACTAGGATAAGCAAGAAATGTCACAGTCCTGCTGCACGCAGGACGTGAGGACGGGTTGAGGTTTTTGCCTCCTCTTCTCTCCCAAATATAGCASTGTTTTGTCAGCAACGAGTTCCCTCGTCTGCATGATGGTGTTGAATTAGATGTGGCTTTTCAGGACATTACAGGGCACCGTGAGGAAGAGCAAGCATAATGCTCAGAAGATTGCAATACAAAAGGCACCTCTGAGCTGGAATTATACAGGGGATCTCTCCCTAAGACTGAGAGAGAAAGGATGCTCCTGGACCAAAAACAAAACAAAACAAAACAAAAAGGAGAGAAAGCCTAAGGGAGAGGAGTCCAATAAGCCTATTTTGTACAATAAGCATGCTAGTTCACCTCAGAAATAGAAGGATACATTTGATTTATATAGAGAGTGAGCAGTTATATGGGCCAAATCTGTGTTTAACTGTAAGCAAACAGCAGAAACCACAGCAGAGCAGACCATCAGGAACAATATTTGGTCTAAAAGTAGCCAGTACAAACTAAGAATTTGAAACCCTTCCAAACTACTCATTCACCAGCAGTTCACTCTTTCTCCAAACAGCCCCAAACTCACACTCTCACTCATGTCTTGTGGCATTTATTTCTGTAGGCTAAACACACCGTGTCAAAATAAATTTTCTTCTATCAATTTCAATTTCAATTCAGCTGATTGTTCCCTTGTTCTTGTATAATGAGTATGTACTGCTTGCCCTGCGGTACCTAAAGACAACATTTTAATAATATCACTGCTTGATTCATTTTATTTGCTGGGTAAAACACACAAAAGCATTATAAAAATAACTGCCTAAAGCGAAAAAAAAA